TAATTTAATTTTGGAATACAAAAATATGAACAATGTTTTGTGACAATAACTTATTAAATGATCGCAGAATGAATAAATTATCTTGTAAAAATCGTGGATTTACAAAATATCATAATACTCCAATGTCATGATGGCTGATGATATCAATAAATACCTATTAATAAAATTTTTCAATTTAAGTGTAAGCTAAACGGCTCGTTGTTAAACTCAATATTTTTATCCTGACAAAAAAAGTATTGCCTAAGCCTCTTGATTTTCGATAATATATATGTCTAGACCTTTGTTTCCTTCTATGTACAAAGTCTTCAGGCTTTTTGCGTAATATTTTTTTCTGGATGGATATATCGAGTTTAGCCGTTATAACAACCACTATTTTCAATTTATATTTCTTAAACAATCATTAAAAAAAAAATAATATATATATACAATCATGTTATTGAGATAATAAACTTAAAATTTAGTTGTTTTATTTCCCAATAATTAATTGAAAAATATTTTTTTCCAAATTAAGATTTTAAAAATAAAAAAATTATGTTATTGAATTTTCCATCATATTTTTTATTATTATCCCTTTTTTTTAAATCGATATCAATTAATATAGTTAACTCTTACATAGTATTTTATTATAAGAAATTTATTTTTTAAAGACACAAAATTTTAGACGACGACAAAATTTAAACCTCCTCAAAAATTAATTTAATCTAATATAATAGGAAATATTAGTTTAATCAGATAATCGATTCCTATAATTTCGCACGAAATTCGCGAAATTTCTTTCAAAAAAATTTTTTAAAAATAAAAAAATCAATAAGACTAAATATAATTATCGGGAATCTGTTTGATTATATAATAGTATTTCCTCATTCCTAAAACGGAAATTACAGATGATTCTTGGAAAAAGGGTGGTTCCGGTTCAGTTTCAATATTTGAAAATTTGTTACTATTCGTATTTGACGAATAATAAATTTATTATTCGTTTATTCAAAATAATTTATTGGATCAAAATTAAGAGAGGAAATTTTAACCCAAAAAAATATTTGCAGGGTTATAATAAAATGCAGAGGCATATTCGAATAATGGGTAATATGATGATAGTGATAGACAAGTGTCCCAGTTTATTGACATAATAGGAGGTGGGGGGGGGGGGTGGATGGTGAATTTTTTGAATATTTTGGACACAAACTTAAAGAAAAATAAAACGGCGGTAGCTAACAATATTTAAGCAAATTCCTAGGGCGGGTGAATAAAACCAATCCCCAGAAGATTCTACGGGTGATTCAGAAAATTTAACTAAGTTTTCTGATTTTTCGTAAAAATTTTAATTAAAATATGGATCTAAAAGTAAAAAATTATTGGCAAAATCTAAATTAGAAATTATTAAGTAGTTTTTTGTACAAGTTTTTATGCGATTAAATTAAAAAAATTTTAAAAAAACCAATTATGTAATTGTTAAATGTTAATACTTATAATAAAGTTATAAGATAATCATATTGTAAGGTTATTAAAATCATTTTAATTAGCTAAACATTTACTTATAATCTTCTTAGAAGATCATATTATTCCTTTCCTTAAAAAAAATAACATTTCGATTAATTGAAGGAAAAAAAAAAACATTTTTTTAAGAAACACATTAAGAAAAAAAAAATAGATATAATATATATTATAGTAAAATGTAATAAAATTTTGAACATTTTTATATTTACTTACTTTTGAAAACGAAAAAGATGAAACATGAAGGTATTTTATTAATACTGCAATTAATTTTTATTATTTTTTGTTTTTCTACATTAATTTAAATTAAAATAATATAATTTCCCTTTTGCTTAAAAAATTCAAACAGTGTTAGAAAAATTTTCTTCGTCAAAATCTTCGGTCAATTTTATTGAAAGAAAGAAATAAACCAAAGTTTGATGATGTAACCTAGAGGATTTTTAGGCAAATTCCTTGAACAAAAGAAGCCAAGGAAGGAAATTTATAAAAATATGTAAAAAAAAATTTTTTTAAGTTACCTAAAAATGTAACATGTTACTTTATATAAATAAAAGATATGGCTTTCAATTATATAACCAAATATAACTAAAAATTAAAATTATATTATATATTTTTATTTTAAATTTGCATTATATTAAAATAAAAAATCATATCCTAAAATTGTCGAAAAAGAGATATAAAACTAACGGGAATCAAATAGGAAGTTAGTGAAACATATGAAGCTACACTTGCCAATCATTACTTTTTGTATAAGATTCGTCAACTATTTATAGAGTGTCCTTATATTAATGTATGGAAAAATCTACATAAGTTGAAACTCCACGCATGGAACCGACCTCTTCTTCTAAGGATTCCGTCGATACAATCGGGACGGTGGCTATCATTTAAGCTGCAGGTGTAAAATTTTACAGGGAAAATGGGCGATACCTTATTCTCACTATCAAGAGTCCCTAGCTGACCCCATTGCATTAGAGACATGTTTAGGGAAGGAATACGTTATTCTAAATGGATGGCGTCACCAGATCAACTCCTCAGTGTATATATATTTTAAGGACAAGATTTTTGGGTGAGATTGCTTCTAGTTATTCATAACTAGACTCCTTATTTAGAGATAAAAAACATAATCTTCAGATTGCGAAGTCTAATATAGGTAATCAACGGACTCAGCAATCATCGATATTTCCCAGGACTTTTCTCAATGTAAAGGGATAGTCTCACAGATATGCTCCGTGTCTTTTGACAGATTCTCATAGATGGATGTTAGATTAGAGGTAATATGCTCCTTTGGCATGCAAGATGAGAGGTGATAAAGCCATAGGCGGATTAAGCGATTGAGAAACATATTCACAAGTACCATTTTTGGTTTGATAGTGTGTGTTGCAACCATAAGGAAACAAATAGAGATTTGTAATTCCTTAATAATTTTGGTTCTATAATGTTTTACTCACGGCGTAAAGGTTATTGGGCAAGTTTGAAGATATTATTGAGAAGGCTTGATTGCCGGTAAAACACACAATGGTTCTTCCATAGCGGAAAACTCTAGATGATCATCAACAAAAAGAGAATAATGTAACATTTTACAAGGCGACTTCTAATTCATCCGTCTTTTTTTTGAAGGGTTATTTGTAAATTATATTGTGTCTTAAAATTTTGGAATAATGTGTGACATAAGTCAGTCGTCATACGTAAAAAAAACACTGAGGAAAAAAAAATATTAAATATGAATATACTATATTCTTTGTAATTTTATTTTTTCCACTTTTATAAAAATTCTATTCTCCTTGTGTATGAAAAAATTATACTTTATCATTATTTTTTTTAGGACGAGATGTTTAGTGTATACTACTTTCCCAACGAATTACATTTTTTTTATGACTTGAAATAAAGATATGATGGACGTTTTACTGACTTTTAAATGCTACATACCTTTTCCATATTCACCCCCCCCCCATTCATAGAAGGTATGGTTAAGCCGTTATAAAACTGTGCAGAGCACTTAGCATTCCTGATTATTCGATAAATGCTAAGTAACTAGTTACAGTTCAAGTTAAATCCTTATAAAGATAACTAGTTATATATATCTATGTTATGTTACTTTAAATCTAAATTTTTATACAAATATTTTAAAAGTATCGCTTAAATTTAACCGTGTAACGCTTTGCTTTTCCGAGTAACTCCATCTCATTTAGAAAGTAAAGTAACAGCGGATTTAATTATAGTCATAGGAAAAAGTCAAGATGATCATATTAATATAACCTTAAACGTATACTATAATTTTTATTAATAATAATAATAATAATTATGTTAAAAGCTATAAGTAGTTCTTGGAAAAATAATCCTGTTAAGTAATCCCTCAAATAAAATCGATATTACGATAATACAGTTGTTTGATTTATAACCAGAGGTGTCAGTGTAATTGTTTATTTAGTGCCTTAAAAGCTTAATTTTTAAAAAAAATATCATGGGGTGTCCATAAAAATGATTTTAATTAATTTTGACTTTGCTCATTATTAATTATAACATCCTTCATTTGATTTTCCGGCTAATAAATACTTTAAATTTCACTTCAAAAAAAATTTAAAATAATTGGGGGGAAGGATGGGGTAAAGGGGGACCAAAAAAAATATAAAAGAAATTATAGGGTTGCGATTACTATTTGTCATTTCTAGGGGATGTTAAAGTACCGCTATAGTCATATTTTTTTTTACGCGTCTATTTAATTAATCAAGTATATTCCCAATTTGGAAACTAAAATTTATTTTTAGATAATTTGATGAGATTTTTATTTGTAAAATACCTTACACTTTGTCCCATTTTATTATCATCCAAATTATATGGGCGTTTGATTAGTTTGTTAAAAATCGAAGATTTCGTGCGATTTATAAATATGCTTAGGTTTGCCTCATACTAATTTGTTAAAAAAATTTTGGAGGGTCTAGTCACTGCCAAAGAAAATCTGAATGACCCCGACTCGGTGCCGCCGCCGCCTAGAACTTTTAGGTTTGAGAGCGGGGCAAGTAGGAGCCGCATTTTAATCGCGTTTTTTGATCATTCCTTGAATATGGCAGCTTAGAAAAACATAATTTATGTAATAATCAATGGTTTTTAAAATTTGCGATTCACTTTTAAAGTGTACGTGAAGAAAGGGCATAAAATGCAAAAAAAATCTCAAAAGCATTAAGTTAATTAAATTTTTTTAATATAATTATATTAATTTTTTTTATCTTGTTATATTATACCAAAACAGCCCAAACTTTGAAAATTGAATTCTCACGTTTAAATATACAAGAAACTATTGTTAGGAATCTCCATGAGTAATTTGCTCATATCCATATTATTATATAGTAATTTTTTAGGACCTGCAGACCCGCTCCGAGCACACGGGCCGGGCCGGGCCGGGCCGTATTTTAACCGAGCCAGACCGAGTCAAAATTTTTTTATAAAAATAAGGGCCAGCAATGCCGGGTCTGGGTCACTGATATTTATTATATTTTAAAGATAATTCTAACTTGTTGATCATGTGCATCCCCGTTTCCTCCATGTTCCGCGTTACTCCTTTCCAAGATTTTCCCGCCAAGAATATTTCTCTCCTAGTCAGGGGAACTCTAGGGTCGTTCATAGGCGGTTTGTCGTATATATCGTCGGCGTTTCCCGCGGCATTTTCAGGTTTTTTGTTAGAACCACTGGGTGGCTTGGCCGTTTCAACACCTTGGGAAGAACTTGATACGCAACCCATCGCGTAAATAAATTTTGTTTAAATAATGTTTTCTCCTTTATAGATAAATAGTATAGGGGAATTGAGGCCTTTTTCTCGCGGTTTTCTTAGTACATAATATGGCGGTTTGCTATTCGAGGGAAAAAATGGAAAGATAATATCATAATTGCTTATAAATAAGGTCAAAAGAAGCGATTTGGTTGATTGATATTATAAATGGTTAAGCACATTTTGGGGTGGAGATTTTATTAAAGAAGTATTGAATTACGCAATGAATTAATTCTCCAGGTATTTTCGAAATTTATTTGTTATCATAAAAATTAAGATTTTTTATCTTTTATAATTTAAGCCTTTTTTTTATATATTAATGTATTTTTTTTTAATTTAAAAAAAAATCACAGTTTAATTATTTTTCCTCATTTTAATTCTAATTTTTGAAAATAAATTTTTTTTAAAAAAAAAATTGAAAAATAAACGCATTGAATATTTTTTTTTATTTTTTTTTTAAATATTAAATTTTCTCTAAAGAAATAAAAATAAAATAAAATCGATAAATTAAATTAGATATTTATTATATTTTGACAAAAAAAAATATCTTTTTATAATAATATTATATTTTATTTTTTAAAATAAAATTGTTATTTATTTTGAAGTCTTTTAAAAATATTTAAAAAAATATATAAATGTTAATTTATAAAAAAAAAATTTTATATAACGTAAATAAGAAATTAATGAACGATAATAATTTTAAATAATTTGTTTAAAATCGACAGATGAGTTTTCGAATAAGCAAAAAAATTAAAATAATATTCATTATTTTATAACTATATAAGAACCATTCAATAAGGTAAACCATGCTAAAATCCTCAAAATATATAGACTCCCATTATAAATGAACTCTATCTATCCCTTCATCGATTTTAGGGGGTAGGAATAGTGTTGTTAAAAGGCTCGATTCGAGCCGATTTTTAACTAAGGCTAACTCGATGTCTTAGCCAGAGAAAAATAGTGCCTAAGGAGAAGAGAAGAGAAGAGAAGAGAAGAAGAAGAGAAGAGAAGAAGAAGAAGAAGAGAAGAGAAGAGAAGAGAAGAGAAGAAGAAGAAGAAGAGAAGAGAAGAAGAAGAGAAGAGAAGAGAAGAAGAAGAGAAGAGAAGAGAGAAGAGAAGAAGAAGAAGAAGAGAAGAGAAGAGAAGAGAGAGAGAAGAGAAGCTTCCTCGGGAGATATTTATATGAAATCACCCTATCTAAACTATTTTGTTCATTGGGGCCCCTTCAATTTCAGGGTTTCTATCTGCAGTTATTTGTCAAATAGAGACTTTTTTTTAGCGGTTTCAACGCCAAAATCTCGATTTTATAACCCTTAATCAGTTTGCCTAAATTTATAACTTCGTTCCACTTGGTATACACAAATATCTAATTTTTCTATTAAATTATGATAATTATACTAATATGAGTATGTTCTGCCCTTCGGAAAATACCAGGACTAAGTTATTCCCGCAAAATGGCTATAAAATGCTAAAAAAAAATCATAAAATCTTACCAAAAAGGTTAAAAAATTTTTTATTTAAATGTCGACAAATTAAATGTAACAGCATTAAAAGAAATAACCTATGTATTTAATATTTTTATAAATTATAAAAATAATTAACCTTTACTATATCAAAGTTCTACATGCTACTATCAAAATTAAATCTACTTAATGTATGATTGTCACCAATATATATATATATATATAATTACCGTAATCTATAAATGAACGTTTTATTGTTAATTTTTATTTTTCCTATCAACTTTCCTATCCTCTTAATGTTATATAAATCGAATCGATGGAGACTATATATCTCTAATGTTAAATTTTAAAAAATTTTTTGTACATCACATGATTCGAACCATGACTTGGCAGTTCTTCCACTCAGCCACCTTCCATATTAAAATTTGTAATATAATCTTTCTTCCCATAGAAAATAAACTATGTAATTTGATATTTCTGATTCCTCATTCAAATGCCACATCCAGAGAGAACTCTTTCCTCATTACCATTCTAATTGATTAGATCGAACAATTGTTCTGTTATCAATTTCCAAGGAAAATCAACTTCCGAAAATATGTTAGATACAGATACTTTGTATTCTTTAAATTTTGATTCGCTGAAAATTTTTTTTTTAAATATCCGGGCCGGGCCGTATTTTTTTAAAAAATTTATACAACATGAATTATTATATTCGTCAATTAGATATGGTTATAATGATTAAATATAGTTACGATTAATATAATGTTTGGTGAAAGTTAACACTAGCTAACACTCGTAGTATCTATTACATAATAAAATTATAGTTTTCCTGCCATGGAATAAATACGCAAAGGGTTAAATGCATATATTATAAATATATAATATATGTTATATTTTTTATTAATTAAAATATCATTTTTATATTTTTTATAAATACATAGTATATTCTCAATATATATTTTTTTTTTATAGTATCAATTTGTAATATACTAAATATCTGTTTAGAATAAAATTAAAATAAAATATGTAGTGTTATTAAACGGCTCGTTTTGAGCCGATTTTTAAAAACGGCTAACTCAGTTTTTTATCCAGAAAATGCAAGCTTGAAAATTTTGATCATAGTAGGAGCAAAGATCCAGACATATAGTATCGAAACTTCGAGGCTTAATCAATATTTTTCTGGCGAAAATATTGAGTTAAAATAAGAAAAAAAACGAAATAATGAATTTTTTGTGCATACCAGGTCGAATATAATTTTAAAAAAATTTCGAGCTGGGCTTAAAAATATTTTTAGATATCCGAGCCGGGTCGGGCCTAAAATTTTTAAACCCGGGCCGGGATTAAAAAATTTTTGTGAGTATTAACATTTACATGTATTTAAAAATTTTTCATAATCCATAGTGATTGACTTCATTAATGACATAAATAACTTATAATTTTGTCATAAAGATTATTATAATAAAACTAAAATATATAATACATTATTTGGTTTGACATTGGATATTATATCCTGCAGAGGTACCATTTGTACGGCCCGGCCTGGCCCAGATTAAAAAATTTTCGGACCGGCCCGGGTTTAAAAATTTTAGGCCCGGCCCGGGTCGGATATCTAAAAAAAAATTTTGGAACCCGGCCCGGCCTGGATTTTTTTAAAAAAAAAATTTTTTAGGCCCGGCTCGAAATTTTTTAAAATTATATTCTACCTGGTATATACAAAAAATTCATTATTTCGTATTTTTTCATATTTTAACTCAATATTTTCGCCAGAAAAATATTGACTAAGCTCCGAAATTTCGATACTATATGCCTAGACCTTTGCTCCTTCTATGAGCAAGATTTTCTGGCTTGCATATTATTTTTCTGGATAAAAAACTCGGCTCAAAACGAGCCTTTTAACAACACTAACATATTTTATTTTTTTTATATTCTAAACAGATATTTACTATATTACAAATCGATACTATAAAAAAAATAATATTTTGAGAATATATACTATGTATTTATAAAAAAAATATAAAAATATATAACATATATTATATATTATATAATAATCTATCTAATCCTCTGCGTATTTATTCCATGACAAGAAAACTATAATTTTATTATGTAAAAGATATTATGAGTGTTAGCTAGTGTTAACTTTCACCAAACATTATATTAATCATAACTATATATAATCATTATAACCATATCTAATTGACGAATATAATGTTTCATGTTTTATAAATTTTTAAAAAAAATACGGCTCGGCCCGGATATTTAAGAAAAAATAATTTTCAGGCCCGGCCCGGGTTTTTTTTTAAAAAATTTTTCAGGCCCGGCCCGGCTTATTTTAAAAATTTTGATATCTTTGAAATATCCTTTAAAAGGTGTATACTTATTTCCAATTTTTAAATCTAAACTATTACTATTTAGAGTTTTCAAAAAAAAAAAATTAAGACGAGTAAATGTTGTTAAACGGCTCCTAACTCAATATTTTATCCAGAAATTTATTAAGCAAGCCTAAAGATTTTGCTCTTAGATGTATTGAAACAAAAATAAATAAATAAAAAAAATGCCCTTTACTCTCAAAAATATAAATTATCAATCCAAAATAATCCTATCTAATAATATTAAATAAATATACTAAACATTACTAGAATTCATCTTTAATTATGCACATATAACATTATAGATATTAAACATATTGATTCTTTCCCAATCAATCCCGTCTTCATCCAATATCTCCACTCCAAATCCAAACAAAGAATGTTTCTAACAACAACCCATGTGATAATTTCGTTTTCCTCCCATCCACCAGGAAAACTATTTTTCCTGTCAGAAAATAACTGACATTTGATGTATTATATTAAATTTATTTCTTCTTTTTTTCAACAGCTACAATACAACAGATGGCACAAAGGATTGAACATCTATTGGCGTAATCTCGACGCTTGCGGCAATATTGTCCTGGCTATAATGTTCAGTTAGCCGTTTTTAAAAATTGGCTCAAATCAACCCCTTTAACAACACTAGTAAAGGCATAGCCTTTTACTATATAAAATTTATTGTCGTACAAAAGGCACAAGATTCATAAATTTTTAGCCAAAGTTACACGATATAAATAAATAACGCTGTCTTATAGCATTCAATAAACAGTCTTTTTTTGTATTTTTTTTGGTGGAAGAATAAAACAATTTTTTTTTTCTTCAAAAAACAATTTTTTTTACAATTAAAATTAATGCTTGTTAACATTAAGTGTATTTATTGATTGATTTTTTATTCTCTTTAAATTAATAATTCCTAAATATTAACCCCCCCTCCCATTAATAATTATTCACGGCAGTTTAATAAAAAATCAATTTATACAGTGTAAACATCTAATATATCCATATTAAAATCCTTCAGAAATCTTTTGCCGACTCAATATATTTTTATATATAAAGATTTGTTTAAATCATAATAAAATCATAAAAATGATGTATAGAAAAATTAAAAACTATATTTATTATTTATTACTGTTTTTAACATAACATTTATATAAAAAACTATATTTTAAAGTAACATTTTAAATAAAAAGAATTGTACGAATTAATGATGATTTAATGATTTTGTTCCCAAAAAAAAACCATAATTATATTATAAAAATTTTATGAATCATTTTTCTAATGTTTAAAAAGAATTCTTTGGTAAAATGTCTAATTTTTCTAAAAACTTGAATTCGGCGAAATAAAAGCCGTTTATGGGTGTGACTATAGGAATTAAATTTTTTTTATTCATCTTGGTTACGATTGGAGTAGATTGATGCTGATGATTGAAGGGAACAAAGAGACGCAAGTCATATTAATGTTTTCCCTAGGGCTCATTAAAT